CTCTTGTTTTCTATTGTCTTATATGCAGATAAGTGCCAAAACGTTGGAGAGAAAGAGGAACGACGCAGTTTTCAGTCACCAAGGACAGAGACCTGTGATTTGCCGGAAAAGTTCCCGGAAGGACTCAACACAAGAGGAAGCTCAGTTTGCGTTAGAAAAATCTCAAATTTTGGTACAATCTCGTCCTCTAGTCTATCTCTCTTTAAAAGGTATTTCCTTTCGTTCAAAAAAAAATCCGAAAATAAGAAAAGAATGAAAATAAAAGCCTTAGAGAGTCTAGAGAGGTCGAATTTTAAGTCCAAAGGCAACTGGAGTTCGATTTTATGGAGTTTTGGAGATCATTTTCTGATTCCCGGAAAGAATCTAAGTCTGGGGGAATATCTGTTCACAACAAAGGAGGAAGGATTATGCAACATTTGGCAAGAAGAAGTGACTGAAAATTGCGGTCATCAACAGGTCCTTATCACTCTTGCGGTTTTGCATATTATCTTGCATCCTCCAGATTCATCAGGTAACCTAAAACACTTTAACTCCACCACTTAAACAGCCCTTTTAATGCCAAACGCTGTCTACCCTAGATGATGTCTTTAATGAGAACTCACTATTGAACTTAATGAATGTAGAGAGCTAGTTGACTGTAATCAAGATTTAGATTGTTTAAGTTTTGCATGACGGAAAATGTGGACTAGTATCTTTTGTGTATTGGTGAGAATTTTCTAGACTAAGTTGTGGATTGATGCACTATCTTTGGTCCTAGTTTAGGAGTTCATGTCTCTGAGATTTGTGCATTCCCTATTTTTTGTTTTCACTTAACCACTTTAGACTTTTGCTTTGTTTGAGGACAAACAAAGGTTTAAGTCTGAGGGAGTTGATAACACCATATTTTGACCACTTTTATGGATCATTTTGAAATACTTTTTTTATGTCTTTAATTGCTTTTAAGTACTTTATTACGTTTTTCTAGTATTTGTAGGTCCAACACTCTTTTCAAGAAACTTAGGGAAAAACTTAACAAAATGGATAGAAGACCAGATTTCAGCTCAGAGTCAAACCGTCAGAAGTTCACCCCCGATTGAAGGCCTTCTCACCGTCTGATCCAGCTAAAATTTGGAGATCTTGAAGATGGAAGTACAAGCTTTCCAGCACACTTTACAGCTTGGCAATCCAACGGTTCAGTCAAAAGATACGCGAAGAGCAAGATGTCCCATAAACCAGCCGGCAAACGTTTCTACCCGCGGCCAACAGGCCATTCCCCGCGGTCACAACCACCGCGACCGCGGCCAGCCACCCATTCCCCGCGGTCACAACCGACCGCGGCCAGCTAACTCCGACTCTGAAGGCCCATTTCTGAAGCCCATATCATTTTACCTGCCTTGATTCCGGAACCCTAGCCCTAGAGATGTCTTGAGCACTATAAATACATGTTTTAGGAACCCTAATTCGTATCACCTCATATGCTCTTATTATTTTAGAATACTTTTTAAGTTTTAGGTTTTAAGGAGAGAGAGATTTGTCTCTTGAACCCTTGTTCTTTCTTTTTCAATTTCGGTTTCTATTCTACTTTTTAATACTATGTTTTTGATTTCGTTTATCATGTCTGAGTAGTTTTATTGTTGGGATTAAGGGATTTTCGATAGGGATATATATGTTCGGTGAGGATTCCATTGGCTATTGAGGCGAATCTTAGAACTTTTTCTTCTGAATTTGTTTTTACTGCATGAGAGTAGCGTCATGAACTACAATCTGATCCAGATGCTTGGTGACACGAAAGTGTTCATCCGGTGTCAGATCTAGTTTGGGAGAGCAAAACAAACATAGGAGTGGAAACCTACTGGTCAGGGTTGAGAGAGATAATTATCTATGATAACGACAGTGGCGTATTCATACGTCCGTGACTCCAGTTCGAAAAGATTAAGCTAAGATCTTATCAAATTTACTCTCTAGCAATGATTTGAATCGTTCGTACCCCTGAGAAAACTTCCCTGAACCCCAGTGCCTCTTTTCTTATAGATTTACACCGATTTTCATTCAAGCTTTAATCTAGTTTCTTTACTCTTTTCAATCGATTTTCACTTAGCAATTAGGTTTAGCCGTTTTTCTTGTTTTTATCCTTTTTCGTTAAGTTTAATTATTAGGTCATTTTAATTCCCGTAGTTTCTCTTTAAAATTTGTTTTTACGTTTTAAACACACCACCAAAACCCTCACAAAACTCGCCTGGTTCTAGACTTCCTTACTTTATATTTCTTTCGAAGGCTTTTGCAGGAAAGATCCTCCTTCCCTGTGGATTCGATCCCTAAGTACTACAATCGATCAGCTGTGCACTTGCGGCTATTGATTTCATTTAGGGTAAAACTTGACATCCTCACGACACACCGCATCATCATTACACCAACTTTAGATTACAACGACAAATTTATATTGAGATTAAAATCATAGATTTTACAACTAATTTTTATACAAATATAAAAGTGTACCTTTTGTCCACAAGAAGACTTTGTATGACAATATTAAATTTACAAATTACAAATTGCTGGTTTAAAAGAAAACCAAACTCTGATTCCTAATAGAGCAACTAAAAAATAAAAATAGAGCAACGTTTCTCTAATCAATTCTTCAAAACCAATAAAAATGTCAATCTAAATGAATACTTCTGCGTCATATGCTTCAAATCTTACTCCATTTTATCCATATTTTTTTTCTTCAAAATCAAGCAATTTTTCCGATTCATATTCACGAATTGTGGCTTATAATATTTACTAAATCAATAAGAGTCTAGAATTTCTAACTACAAAAAAGAGTGTTTTACATCACTTATTTTTTATATTTACATCAGTTTTAAGTGATGTAAAAGAATTTTGCATCATTTAAATAAGTGATTCTGAAAGTGGTGATGCAAATAGTTTGCATCAGTTATAGAAAATTTTACATCGATTTTTAGAATCGAGGTTACTATGTATCATTTGCAAGAAAATGATGTTAATACTTACATCAGTTAATTTAATCGATGCCAATATTTGTTACGGTTATAATAACTGATGTCAAATGATACATCATTTGATAATAATTGATGCTAACAACTATATCACTTATAAGTTATAACAAATAATGTCAATATTTATATCATTTGTGTGTAATTGATGTTAATATTTGTTACGGTTAACATAAATGATGTCAAATGATATCTCGTTTGTTAATAAATGATACTAATAATTGTCTCACTTATAAAAAATGATGTCACTATTTATATCATTTATGTATAATTGATGTGAAAATTAGCATCAGTTACCAGAAATGATCGTAATAGTTATATCACATATAACAATCGATGCATAAGCATCTTGTGGTTTGCATCATTTTATAGAAAAATGACGTTAATCTAATTTCCACCTTTCTAATTTCCGTTGGTATCATCTCCCATTTCCTGATAAAAAACGGGGTTTTTGCTAAAAATAACTCAAAACTTGACTTTGAATACAAAAGTAAACCCCTGAAAAAACATTTGGCAGAAATAACCTAAAGGGGTAGTGAAAAGACCATTTAATCCTCTATGAGTAAACAAAAAACGGAAGTCATAATTACCGTTTACACCCTAACGAAGTCTACTAAAGGGAAAAAGAAGTCTAATAGTAGACTTCATTTTATCGAAATGAAGTTTACTAAGTAACTAAATCTGTAAATTTAATTTTAAATTTTTAAAAAAATTATTTTGGTATCAAATTTACATTCATAAATTCCGTAATCGTAACCCAAATGTACATAAATTATTTTTTGATATTGCTAAACGGAAATGTATGTTTTTAAACTAAGTAGAAGTAAATTTATAATTTAGGTTTTAAAAGTTATAGACTTCTATATTGAAGTCTACTAAACCGAATAAAATAACCTAACCGAAATTTTAACCGAACTTAAACCAGGAATAACTTCCCTTAACCAAGAAAAATTGCCTGTAACCGGGTAAATTTACCTAGACCCGTAAAATTAGTAACCCTAACCGAAAAAAACTTACCCGAACCGTACAGAATTACCAGACTATATATACGAATTTTACAGATCCCGTTAAAAAAAAAATCGTCGAAAGTTCGTGTAAAAAAAAAAAGTCGAAGGCGATTTCTGTTTCTCTGCTCCGGCGCCGCCGACATACAGAACCGCCGCCGATAAACTCGTTCAGGCAAGTTTTCTTTCTCCAACCACACCCCCATGCTTCCCTACTCCTCCGTATTCATCACCTTTCCGTTTTCGTAACCACCAGTTTCCAGATCTGAAATTAGGGTTTTTTTTTTTGCAGATCTGCTTTCGCTGTTGGAGGTTAATGTCATTTCCTGCCTCAAAACGGTTAGTAGATATTGTTCCGAAGTTATATACTTAGCAATTCTTATATTTCTTCTGTCTTCCTGTAATTTTGTCCGTCGGGTTTGAGTTAGATCTGTCTGTCGGGTTTTTTTTCCCAGATCTGGTTGAATTTTCTCGACGCCAGCTTCATCTAATAACGGCGGTAAACACTATAAACTTTGTAGATTCCATTTGGATGATTTGTTTTAGTAGACTTCATATACAGTATTTATCATGTATTGATTGCTTCGGTTGGGTTCAGTAGACTGCATATGCAGTATTTATGATGTTTTGATTGCTTCATGTGGATTCCGTTGACTTAATATACTGTTTTTTTATGTTAAAATTGCTTCGGTTGGCTTCAGTAGACTTCTCGACTCGGATTGTACTTAGAATGTGAAAGTAGACTTCATTATGTGAAAGTAGACTTCATTATGTGAAAGTAGACTTCATTATGTGAAAGTAGACTTCATTTTGAAAAAGTAGACTTCATTTTGAAAAAGTAAACTTCGTTTTGAAAAAGTAGACTTCATTTTGAAAAAGTAGACTTCAGTTTGAAAATGTAGACTTCATTTTGAAAATGTAGACTTCATTCGTGTACAGTTTCAAACCGTACTAGTTTTTCTCATTAAAGCTTTGTTACCGTTGATGCAGAAATCTGTGTTAGATAATGGTGGCCTCTGAATTCCCTAGAAGACTGTACACCAAAGGGTTTGAGCCAGCCCCGGATAAAAGCATCGGCTATTATTCTGATGATTATAGGCTGGTACCTGCACTAAAGTCAGCTCTACAAGAGGATGAATGGGAAGAGATTTACGAGTCACCGTTGGGTGTCTTTTTAAAGTTCCACGACTTGGATTTTGGTTGGGCTTCTAGGCTGGTGCACCACATGCTGACCTTTCAGATAGTTTGCAAGCAGAGGTACGAGATATGGAGCCTGATTGGTACCAATCCAGTTCGGTTTTCATTGCATGAGTTTGAGGAGATCACCGGACTCAACTGCGGGTACGTGGATGACTTGGCTTTAACTGATCTTACGCTTTCCGATGACACGCGTGCATTTTGGGAGCTAATGGGGGTCGATGCCGAGTCGGGCCCAAGCACTATCGAAATTATTGAAGCCTGTTCCAACTGCTCATCATGGTCTCAGGATGATAGGCTGCGGTTGGGTTATCTTGGGATCTACGCTGGTTTCATAGTGGCAACGAGACCTGGCTTATCCACAAATGTTAACCATGCCAGACTAGTGATGGATCTCGAAGGTTTTAAGGAGTCCATGGGAAAGAATTGCTTTTCAGCATTTGATCAAGTCTGTTAAGGAGAAAGATCTCAGCAAAAACATTCATATAGAAGGATTTGTGCAAGCTCTTCAAGTGTGGGTGTACTATGCTCTGCCGGATTTTGCTGCTGAATTTGGCGAACCATTGCCAAATGATATTCAACCTCTTCCGCTGGCTTACAAAGGATCAAGAGGACGAAAGAACGTCAAAGCCAACATGCTAAAACAGGTATTGTATTAGTGTAGTAGACTTCTATGTAGTAATGAATTTTCAAAGTAGACTTCAGAAGTAGACTTCATGTGTTGACTTCAAGAGTAGACTTCTATGGTAGACTTCAGGAGTAGACTTCAGGAGTAGACTTCATAAGTAGTTTTTCGAGGCTTCATATGGCTAGTAATTCATTTACTTATTGTGTTTTTCTAGGCTCGCATACAGTGCTGCGTGGCTAAGGACTTGGCGGATATGTTTCCCGTGTGAGATGATGACGAACAGGATCCAGATATTGTCAAGATTGTCAATGCAATCCATGACCCCCATTTCAAGTTCTCAAAAAATCATTGGCCTTTGGAAGGTGTTTTGGGTGCACACATCGTCAAGGCAGAAGCCAGAAAGAGGAGCCTTCCCTCAGATGAATCAAGTCGCAAGAGACCCTACACAGCATCTGCCTCTGCCGCCTCATTCGTTGGTGATGAAGGGGTCGGAGTTGTCGCTACTATGAAAGCACACTTCAACCAATGCTTCAAAAGCTTTTCAACCAAGATGCTGAATGGTCTTGGTAGCTGTGAAAAGCAGATCAAACTTCTCACCGTGAAGGTTGAATCTGTAGAGCGCGCGGTAGAGGAGTTGACTACAGGGTCGGCGAAGCACACTGAGGAAGAGGTTAAAGACAATGTAGAACCAACCCAGCAGCAGGGCGGCACTGGATCCAAGAAGCATGAAGGGGTTAGTACCAAAAACCCTCCGCCTATACGAAAACATTACATGCGAACAAGATCACACAAAGTTAGGAACAGTTAATACTAATGTCGTTTGAATTCGAACATGTTTACTACTGTTATGTACCATGTGAGATTATTTATTTATGTTTTAAAAACTAGTTGTTTACAATTTTCATACTATGATGAAACATGTTACTAAATTATAGCATTGGTGTAGTCATTTGTATATTCATGCCTGTTTGTTACAATAAACTGCAGAGTAATTCAGATAAAGATGATGCTCCGATGAAAGATAATGTCAACGTTGGTGCGTGTGAGAGTGTTAACGACCCCGGGGATGCAAAAGGAAAGAAGGCTTCCATGAAGGAAGAAGAGGCCCCAGAGCCTAGTTTTTGTGAAATTGACCCGAAGATGTGTGATGTTGACTTCGACGCGGTTGCACTAGCCAAAAATGCCAAAGCCAGAGCAGCGGCTCAGTTAGTTGCTCGAGCAACGAGTGCCAGATACCGACAGCTGGCTGCGACACAGAAGAGTCCGTTCTTAGGAAACAGCACCGCAAAGTCCATCATTCCATCGTCTGCATCTCACTCCGGGCGTGTCCGTGGATATGATCTTTTCGATCAAACCGGTGTCAAGGCGAAGCAAACCACTCTAATGAACTTTCTGAAATCAAACCCGTAAGTAGACTTCTATACGTATGTAAGTAGACTTCCTCGTAGTATTATTTCCTGTCTCACTTTTTCACTTATACAGTGCCTGGCCAAGACGCCCAAAAAACTCTTCGATCGACTGGTATTACATTCTCCGGACACCGACGAAATGGCTAGCTGATACGGTTAGTGTTTTACTTTCTTATATTAGACTTCATGTTTAGACTTAATACGTAGACCTATTATGTAGACTTATATAGTAGACTTCGTTTGCAGACATTAGACTTCGTTTGCACACTTCACTCATGTCTTATTTTCATTAATGTGCAGCACATGAAAGCTTACATTAACGTACTCAGGCTGCGATTATCCAAGCATCCGGAGTGGTTTGTATCCGACCGGATTTGCTTCCTCAACTCCATGTTTGCTACTGTTTGGAGGCGGGAATACAATGACTTCAAAAACTCTGAGCCGAATGCAGATGGGTCTGGCAAACTTCTACCGCCTGGAGCGTATTTGTACTAAACTGGCGAATTACCTATCTACTGCCAGACTAAGAAGACGTGGGCATATGATGTCGACTATTTGTACTCCATGTTGCACATCAGGGAGGACCATTGGGTAGCTATATGGGTTTCATTTGTGACGAAACATATCACGATATAGGATAGTCATGCGGGAACCAAACATGCATCTGACACCCAAATTGACGAAGCTGTGGAGCCTCTTGCTGTTATGTTACCCTACCTTCTTCAGACCTGTGCACCTGACGATGACAAGTGGAGATTCCCCTACACGCCGTTCACCCATTCACGAGTACCAGGTACGGAGATACCTCAAAACATTCAGAGCGGTGATTGCGGAGTGTACTGCCTCAAGTACATCAAGTGTCATGCTTTGGATTTGCCATTTCTCCGGAACTCTGTGATAAAAACATTCGAAAAATCAGGGAGAAAATGGCTGCAGAGATATTTGACGAAATAGTTGCTAGGGGCCATGATAAGCTAGATACAACCGGGCTGGATGTCTATGATAGGAAAGCTTAGTGTTTCCGTTTTTAAAACTAACTTTGATTTTTATGGCAACTTTTGGGCTACTTGCCTAAATTACCTTCAAAGTGATTGGAGGTCATTTTAGCAATTGGTAGATGATAGGTGTGGAAGTTTTTTGGCCACCTATCTTATAATTAAATTGCCAAATATGTTGTATTTTCGTTTAGGATATTGTACTTAAACTGAAGTCTACGACTGAAGTCTTCGACTGAAGTCTACTAAGTTGTAATTGTATTTGTACTGAAGTCTATTAAGTCATTAACATGTTAGTATTTATAATTTTCGAATTAACATAAGCAATTGGTAATGATAGGTGTGGAAGTTTTTTGGCCACCAATCTTATAATTAAATTGCCAAATATGTTGTATTTTCGTTTAGGATATTGTACTTAAACTGAAGTCTACGATTGAAGTCTTCGACTGAAGTCTACTAAGTTGTAATTTTTTATTTATAATTGGAAAAAGTGTATACAGAAAAAGTGTATCGAAATGAAAATACAACAGAGTACACTTCTATTGTAGACTTCATTTTATCGAAATGAAGTCTACTAAGTAATTAAATCTGTAAATTTATTATTTAGGTAGGAGTAAATTTATTATTTAGGTTTTAAAAGTTGTAGACTTCTATATTGAAGTCTACTAAACCGAATAAAATAACCTAACCGAAATTTTAACCGAAATTAAACCGGGAATAACCGATAGTGTACACGGAAAAAGTTTATTTAAAATCAGTAATTTATTTCTACAAACAAAGTCTACAAACGAAATCTACTAAAGAAGTCTACTATAGTCATGTAAACATATAAGTAAACAAAAAAAACATAAAACATGGAGTCAACTAATTTCAACACAGCCATTCATTTGCAAATCCAAGAATTGTTTTTCAGAATATGGCACATTCCAACTTCCAGAAGCAAGGACTGCAGAGTTTGTCACCATATGAGTCGAGGAGGCTTTCATCATCCATCCAGTGCTGGTTTGGCAGATTCATACAAGCACAACTCCTTGATTGTGCCTTATAAAAAACATGGAAGACCGGTTCGTGAAATGCGTCAGGCTTCTTATAAGTGGTCGGACACCTATTTATGTGCTGCATAGTCTTTCTCATCTTCGTTGCCTCTGCCGGAACTATACCACGAATGTGGTTAAATACATCATGGCTACCATCCATGGTTAAAGAGAACATAACCATGGAGTAAGTAGCCATGAGGCATCCTCCATTTGATGACACCTTTATTAAGTCAAATCCTTATTAGATGAGTTTAGCTCAACTTACACAATTCGATAGGGTATGACCAAGTTGCTTGCATTGGGAGCAGCTGTATACTTTGTGCAGCTTCTTTGGCTTCTTGCTTTTCCTCCTAGCAATTTCTAGCCATGATTGCCACCGAGACTTCTTCCGTCTGCCTGGTGCGCGGCGAATGTCTGGTGGCAGACATATTGATGTTAGGCCTCCTTGGACCTCTGAAATTTGGGGATATATGTTGGCAGAGTATGCGGCAAACAAGTAGTTTTTTGAGTAAGTCGGACATACAAGGGAATCCACAGCTATCCCACCGGCTAATGCAGCTGCAATAGCATGTGAACATGGGATCTTCTCGATATAAAACACACCACATTCACACATTCCATGTTCCAAATCAACAATACAATTCCTGGTTCCTCCTTTCACATAATATCTCCAAGTGTCAATTCGGTCCACCTCCATTGCATCTGCATAATGTCCACGAATCGCCAGCAAATACTCCACTCCCCGAGTATTATGTGTTGTGAGACTCAAAGCATCCTCTCTGTGTTTTAAAACCACCGACCGAGCTTCTCTCGTATGAAATCCAAGAGGAATGAAATGGGATAGCCACAGGCCTTTTTAAGTGCAGCATTTATAGACTCTGCAACTTTGCTAGTCTTAATATTGTATCTGTCTCCAACAAAATGAACTCGGGACCAAAGAGAGACATCGGCTTCTTCCAAATAGTCAGCAAGGTTAGGCTTGATCTGTCTCAGCTCCGCCATGTACCGGTTGTAGTCATAGAGGTTGTAAGCATAAGCCACACGTTTAACCAAGTACAGCAACTGCTTCCCCCTAAACTTTGTTACTATGTTATGTTGTAGATGGTAGTAGCATATCCCTCGTTTTGCCCATGGGAAAATAGTTAGACAAGCTTTCTTAATAGAAATATGTCTGTCAGAAACAATCACCAAATGATAACCATCTGAGACACATTCACGCAGTTTAGAAAAAAACCAATCCCATGAAGCATCATCTTCACCATCAACAATTCCAAAGGCGAAAGGAAAAATCTGAAAGTTTCCATCTTGTGCGGTGGCAACCAACAAAGTATCCTCGTATTTCCCTGTTAGATGACATCCATCAACCACAATAACTCTTCTCATGTACTGAAAACCAGCAATCGATGCTCCAAATGCGAGAAATAGATATTTGAATTTGTTATTCGAATCTACATGAAGAGCTGATACAGTTCCCGGATTGGCTTTGTTCACTGAATGTAGGTAAGCTGGGAGACTCGCATATCCATCTTCAGCTGTTCCCCTGACAAATTGTTGGGCATATATCAAAGATCTGTAAGAGGTAGTGTAATCCATCTTGATCCTAAACATATGCTTCATTGAAACCCTGACATGTTCTGGTGTAAGTCCATTAATGATGCCCAAATGGCTTATAAACATCTTGCCAATATACTTAGGAGTAGACTTCCCACGGTGAGCCATTCGATGGGCTATTGAACATGTGTGGTCTTTCACATATTTTGTCACCCAAAAATTGGATGCATCATTCTTCACGCTCGCTCTAACCATCCATGCACATCCTTCCACTCGACATTTAGCCACAAACAGGGTCTTGGTAGACTTCTGTGTTTTAAAAGCAAATTTTAACATTATGGCAGTCAGTCTAACCTCTGATTACAGCTTCTCTTTTGTAGGGAAACTTGCCCTAACATATATATTATCAGACCATGACATGGGCATGCTCCCTGTTTCACCATATCGGTTTCTGACCTTTTCAATACAGACTTCATCTTCATCATCATCTTCATCTTTCACTTTACCGTAGACACTGTAATCTTCTCCATCAGAGTAAGCTGCATCGTCGACATCTTCTCCATCCTCGTTCACATCAGAACTGTCTGCCTCATCATCGGTAGAATATTCTGAATTTTCCTCAAACTCCTCACCTAAATCTTCATCTAATCCTTCCTGGTTCTCCTCAGTATCCATCTCTACTCGACTGGACACACAAAGACGTAACATATGCACTCTGCTTAACGCAATCAAGCTTGAAACTTGTCTATCATTGGTGACATGCATTGGAGGTGTATCTGGAGCCATAGTTTGCAACATTGAGACTGGTAGTGCGTAGGTTAACTCGATGATCTCAGTCTTTTTTCCCAAGTTATAATCATCTCGCGCCATTTCAGTAAGCTGCCCCAAGGTGCAACCATCGTTCAAAAACCGCATTCTTCCACCTTTGCCCATGTCAACAACAAAATGCCATGAATTCTCCTCAATCTTCCACTCACCGTACACAACTGGAATTTGAGCCATTCTCTGAAAAAATAACCATACAAACCATATTAGCAAACACTGCATAGAGACTTTTTGTATCAAGAGTAGACTTCACGACGAAGTCTACTTTGATAAGCTAAGTACCTTAAAAACTGAAACTTCTGATTCAACAATAAATATCCAGTGAAACGAAATAAAATTCACTAGGTAGTTCAATCACTTACTAAGAAACAATTCTAAACCAAAAAAATTGAAAAATATTTTATAAATTTGCTTAAAACGCGTTTTTACAAAAACGTCAAAAAGTAGACTTCTAAAGCAGACTTCGAATGTAGACTGGAGGAGAAGTCTACTTTTATAAGCTAAGTACTTTAAAAATCGAAACTTCTGATTCAACAATAAATATCCACTGAAATGAGATAAAATTCACTGGGTAGTTCAATCACTTACTAAGAAACAATTCTAAACAAAAAAAAAATTGAAAAATATTTTATAAATTTGCTTAAAACGCGTTTTTACAAAAACGTCAAAAAGTAGACTTCTAAATCAGACTTCAAATGTAGACTGGAGGAGAAGTCTACTTTTTCATTGAGAAGTCTACTAATGAAGTCTACTAAAAAATGTCATTTTTGCAATTGACCAATCTGTTGACTTTTTCTCCAGTAGACTTCAGGAGTAGACTTCAGTAAAAAAAGGTTACTTTAGCATTTGACCGATGCATTGACTAACATAGTAGACTTCTATTGTAGACTTCATGTAATAGTAGACTTCTCTAACAGTCTACTTTTGAAGTCTACTTTTTAAATAGAAGTCTACGGAACAAAATAGGTTATTTTTGCAATTGAATTTTTTTAGTAGACTTCACAATGAAGTCTACTCAAAAAAGGATTCATTCTAAGTTTGACCGAACACCATAAGTAGACTTCACAAAAAAATCTACAAAATGTAGACTTCTTTGTGAAGTCTACTGAAGTTTTTTGGAATTTTTTAATTTTTTTTTATTTTTGAAAAACAGAAGTCAAACACTAAAATGACCTATACGTTTTTGGTCAAACTACAAAAGTAACTCGAAAGTAGACTTCATATGCAGCCGTAAACAATAGACTTCATAAGAAAGTCTAAATCCAAAAGTCAAAATACGGTCAACTACAAAAATAACCTCTTTTCTTTCGTAGACTTCTAAAGCCTTCAAATGAAGTCTACTATGCTTTTTTTGTTATCAATGGATATCGAGTAGACTTCTCGTGAGGTTTAATGAAGTCTACTTTTTAAAAGTCAATTGCAAAAATAACCTTATGTTGAATCATAGACTTCAGTATAGTTCACGAGAAGTCTACTTTTGCGATATAAAAACTGAAATGTGGAGAAATTAAAGTGCGAGGATTACCTTTAACAAAATTGAGCTCGCCTAAGTTTCTCTTATCCACCCAGAACTCAGAATTTCACCGAAATTAAACAACCCAGGTGTCG